GCAATTAGAACATTATCTAGCATTCAGTAAACACTCAATAAATGTTACCCAACATTGGTATTAATACTAGCGTGTGTATAAGTAATCTTCCACAGAGACAATAGTCTAAGGAATACAGACATTACACATAAATACTAGGGAAACAAGACAGAGATAATTAAGGCATAATATAAAAACCTCACCTACAAACAGGCAAGGAATTACAATATAAAACTTACAACCAAATTTCTGAAGAGTTTTGTTGCTTAGAGTCAAGCCATAATATTAAGGCTCTTGAAAAATTACATACCATTGTTTACCATGACACAATCCCGTAAGGCATGATATGGATCAGTGAATCTTCTAATATGGCACACATACAGAGCGAGATTTTAACTAGCACTATCTGGAGTGGTTAGGCATATTTGAGACTAACAAATTTTCTACCTCTTCACATAATAGCCAACAAAGCTACTACTTGTACCATAAAATCTAAGAAAGAAACTTACAACCTCATCATATTTACTGTCTTCCTTGTTGCTTTCTCTTTTGCCTTTGATCCACTCTAATTGAAAGTGTCTTTCATGAAATGAATTTTCACACTTTGTACTTTGGCCACATGATTGAGTTGTAGAACTGTGTATCAGACTCAACTGTTCATTTCAGGTATAAAGGTAAACCTCTTTCCTCAGCTACACAACTTCCATCAATATTCTGAGTCACTGACCTGTCTAGAGAGCTACCCTATTGTTCTATAGACTAATGCAAGCTCCTTTAACTGCTCACTCATCTTCCCCCTACCCCGCCTTTTCTTTTTTTTTTTTAAAGACAGAATCTGGCTCTGTCACCCAGGCTGGAGTGCAGTGGCACAATCTCAGCTCACCATAACCTCTGCCTCCCAGGCTGAAGGGATTCTCCTGCCTCAGCCTCCTAAGTAGCCAGGATTACAGGCATGCACCACCACGCCCAGCTAATTTTTGTATTTTTTAGTATAGATAGGGTTTTACCATGTTGGTCAGGCTGGTTCAAACTCCTGGCCTCAAGCAATCTGCCCACTTTGGCCTCCCAAAGTTCTGGGATTATAGGTGTGAGCCAATGCCCCTGGCCTCTTTTTCTAAAGTTCAGTTCAATTTACATAAAAAGCAAACTTCTGGCTAATAATCCACAACTGGGTAATTCACATACAGCTTATGAAGAATTGGCTGCATTTTAGAATGCAATTTTAAAATTAAATTTAGACTTCACTAAACAAAGGCATCTACTTATTAATTTTTCTAATCTAGAGAGTTAAAAATGGATAGAGTACAAACATTATAGGATGGTGCTATCTTTGAAGACAGTATCAAAACTTTTGTGTTTATTTTCTAAACTGAGTAATTGTTAATACATTTCCATAATAACATAACATTTCCTATTTTCTTACACACTGATTCACTTAATCCACACAATCCTTTGTGCTAGAGATTAGCATCTCTATTTTATAAATGAGGAGGTTACATAAACACCAGTGAAATAGATGCATGTAATTTTGTTAGGCTCTTCAAGAAGTTCTTATTCTAGAGAAAAGGCTGTTCATGAGAAAAGTGGTTAACTAAAATGAAATATTCCAAAGTAAATTTCCAATCTCTTCAATATTGCTAAGTAAGCTCTCTATAACCTAAAAGTTCTCCCACTTTACTAATATTTTCTCTCTGTGGCTAAATGTTTCTGCAGTACTTCTTGTTCTAAACATTCTAGGCCTAATCTGCCTTGGCCCTACTCAGCTACCTAATAAATTCATACAGCACACACCGAATACAATAATAGCCAGGGATGTGGCCTTTCATGGCTTTTGCTAAACCTTTGCCTGGCCTTGGAAAAAATATTTTTGAACTTTAAAATTTATTACCTAATTACAACAAGGGACGGTATAACACATTAATTAACTTGTCCAAAACCAAATTTCAATTGTGTTTACCTGTCATCTAAATGTCACGGTAGATAATAGTTCTAGGTACCACTGACAAATGGTGAAAACGTGCTGTACACATCTCTAAGTATACTTAAGACTGATTTAAGAAAAACATTCAAGTTAGGATTGAATGTAACCCCCAATATCCGCCCGAAGGTTTAGCTGTAGAAGTAAGTAAGATGAGCCCTTTAATTTCTATCAAAGTAGTTATCAACTATGAAGCACAAAGACAGAAAGAATATCTAATCCTTTGTTGGCAGAAAATTATATAATTTGTACAGAAACAATTGTCAGTATGTATGCTGCTGAATGTGAGGTAAATGAGATGAAAAGGAAAATCCCAGAATTTTATAAATTTAAAATAAAATTTCAAAAAGCAATAGAAGTTACAATACATACCTATAGGAATGTAATGAAGAACAAAAAATTCTACAGTTAGAACTGACTATATGTATTTTTAAGTGTAAAGCTCAGAAGGGGGTTTTCCTGTGAAGTAGTGATTAAGTTCTTAAGGATTACCTAGTTTTTCTTTCCATCCTTTACTGAATTTTAAGTTCTGAAACGTTTCTCTGCCTTAATATGTGCACTATTCAAAATATAAAACTTAATAATGTAATTTAAGGGCATCAGAGCAACCATTATGATATAAATATTTATTATGTAAGAAAGCAAATATATATAGATTCTTACAATAATAGAAATGGAAACATACCTGAGTATCTAAAACCACATCTGAAAGGTGTCTTCTAAATTAAATCCCAATTATCAAAATCAATTATTAACAAATTCCTACTAAATGTGTTCATTCTATTCCAGTTAATTTTGGCTAACCTAGGCTGGATGCAGTGGCTCACACCTGTAATCCCAGCATCTTAGGAGGCTGAGGCAGGGGAAACCACTTGAGGTCTGGAGTCTGAGACTAGCCTGTCCAACATGGTGAAACCCCACCTCTACAAAAAATAGAAAAGTTAGGTGGACATGATGGTGTGTGCCTGTAGTCCCAGCTACGCAGGAGGCTGAAGCACAAGAATCACTAGAACCCAGGAGGCAGAGGTTGCAGTAAGCCAAGATTGTACCACTACACTCCAACCTGGGTAGCAGAGTGAGACTCTGGCTCAAAACAGAAAAATAAAAATAAAAATATAGGTCAGGCCTCATTTCGGCTAACCTAAACTTTATTAAGTCATTCTGCAAATATTTATTAACCATCTAGTAGTTCTAGGTAATATAGCCACAATGGGGAGGAAAAAAAAAGAGTCCTCACCATTTGTTTTATATACCCTAATATTAACCAATATCTAAACTTTCAAAAGCTTAACTGT